TTTTTTTATATCATGTGTACTGTCTCCTGTTTCTTCATTGACTCCAGTCAGTCTTATGTTATTCTTCTTTGCATTGTCTAGCAGCTGATGGATTGATTTCTCATGGTCCCATACTATTTTAAAGAAATTTTTCTTTTCCTGGTCACTGATTGCAATCCTGTCTTCTATATCTGAAATTCTGTCCTCCCATTGGCTCATTCTGCTGTGTAAACTTTCAACAGAGATTTAGTCTCCTGGAAATCTGTTTGCATCTATTTTATGGATTCCATTTGTTTCCTATGTTGGAATTCCATCATGTTCCTCATCTCCTCTATTTTTTTTCCTCTTCCGCTCTATATTTATTAATCATGCCTTGTACTATGGACACAATCTCTGCTGTTACCCAGGAAATTATTTCTGATTTCATTTTTTTCCAGGTCCTCTTTTGTTGCCAGTTCAGGGAGTCCAAGTGGTTGAGTATCAGAATGTTCCATGTCGTCACACTTTGGAGTTGCCTGAGGTGATCTAGAACTCTGGTTTTGAGACTTATTTACATGTCTTCTCATTTCAACACGTGCAGCCTACCGTGCCTTTGTTGAGGTGACTTTTTGCTCATCCAGTGGTCTTCAATTCTCAGCAACCCACCAAGCAGCCTTTACTGTGTTGCTCACCTGTACACCAATTCCTGGGTTGAGAGTGGTGGCCTTCTGGATCCCTGAGCTGACCTGTTGTCTGGGCAGGCTTCTCGCTGGGCCCTGTGCACACTTAGGATGGTATCTAGGTGTGCCTTTTGCTGGGGCCCCTATGTAACTGTTTTCTGGGAGGGCCTTTGGCTAGGGGCTGTGCACCCCTGTTTGTGTTGTCTGTGCAGGCTTTGGCTAGGGTCCCCACGCACTTATCAGTGGTATCAGGGTGAGCCTCTGGCTGTTGCTTGTGTTCCTGTGTAGCTCTTTTCCAGGCGGGCACTTGACTGTGGCTGATGGTATGGCAGGCCTCTGGCTAAAGCTTGTGCATCTGTGCAGTTCTTTTGTGGGTGGGCCTTGACTTGGGTGGGTGTGCCCGAGTCTCTGGGGCCAGGCCAGAGCCCCAGTTGGGATCCACCTGCAGCCGTCTGCTCTGCTCCACACAACTGTTCCCCGGGATCTGTGATTACTTACTGATGGTATGGTGAGCCTCAAGATCAACTTTGTTTATTATTGAGATATAACTCACATTACAGAAAATTCACACTTCAAGTGCACAATTTGTTGATTTTTAATGTTGTGATAAAACTCCAACCATCACTCCTCTAATATCAAAGCATTTTCATGATCCATAAAACATCCCTATGCCCATTAGCAGTCTTCTCCATTCTCCTGTCTCTCTAGCCCTAGCAATTACTAATATACTTTGTGGATTTGCTCATTCTAGACATTTTATATAAATGGATTCATATACTATGCCTTTACATCTCTTTTTCACTTAGTGTAATGTTTTTAGGGTTCTTCCATGTTGTAGCATGTTATCAGTACTTCATTGCTTTTTATTGTCATGTAATATTCCATTTTGTGAATACCACATTTTTATTACATTCTTCAGTTGATAAACATTGGAGTTGTCACTTTTTTTGTTATTATGAATAATGCTCCTGTGAATATTTCTGTGTAAATTTTCTGTGGACATATTTTCATTTCTATTAAGAATGTATTTAGCTTTTTGGTCTGTTTGTTTTTGTTTTTGAGACAGGGTCTCACTATGTAGTTCAGGCTGGCCTTGAATTCACTATGTAGTCCAGGCTGGCCTTGAACTCACAGTGATCCTCCTGCCTCAGTCTCCTGAGTACTGGGATTACTGGCATGCACCACCACACCCAGAAAGAATGTATTTAGAAATAAAACTGATGCATCACATGGTAACTCTGCCAAACTTTTACAGAGTGACTGCAGCATTTTACAATCCCACAAGCAATACATGAGGTTCTCATTTTTCTACATCTTTGCCAATACAGTCAGTACTTGACATTTTCTTTGTTATCATAAACACAGTACATTGTGATTTGTGTTTGTATCTCCATACTGACTGCTTAAATTGAGCATGTTTCTGGGTGCCTTTTATATAATCTTAGTAAAATGTCTCTTCAGTTCCGTTGTTCATGGGGAAAAATGAGTTATTGTTTATTTATAAAAAATTCTTTATAGATTCTGGATACAAGTCCCATGTTGGATATATACTGTGCAAATATTTTCTCCTCTCTTCTGGGTGTGTTTTCAGGTTCGTGATGGTTGTCCTTATTAGCACAAAAATTTTCAATTTTTCATTAAGTCTAGTTTATTCTTTCGTCACTTCTGCTTTTGGTATCATATCTAAGGAACCAGTGCTTTGTGTAAGGTCATTAAGATCTGTGACTAATGCTTTCTTTTAAGAGTTCTATAACTGCTGCTCTTACATTTAGGTCTTTGCTTTATTTTGGGTTGACTTTTGTATGTGATTTGAGGTATGGGTCCTGATTCATTCTTTGTACATGGGTATTCAGGTATCCCTACATCATCTCTGGAGAAGACTAACTTCTTCCCCATTAAATTATTGGTTCCACCCTTATTGAATCAGTTGGCCAAAAATGTATGGGTATATTATTGGACTTTTAATTCTATGCCATTGTCTGCAATTCTGTCCTAATGCCAGTACCACGTTTTCTTGATTACTTTAATTTTGTAGTGAGTAATAAATTTTGAAGTTGAAAAGTGTCTTTCAACTTTGTTCTTTTTCAAGATTGTTCTGGCTTTTCAGGTCTTTCTGAATTTTAAAATTGGCTTTTCAATTTCTGCAAGAAAAAATGAGTATTTTGTCAGGAATTTTGTTGATTTAGATCAATTTAGAATGTGTTGCCATATTAAAAATATTACATTCTGGGCAGGGGTGTGTGTGTGTGTGTGTGTGACTTGTGACTTGTGACTTGTGACTCAGTGGTAGACTGCTTGCCTAGTGTGCAACAGGCCCTGAATTGGATCCCAAGCACTAATAATAATGATAGTAATATATGCTTTCAATCCTAGAACTTGAGATGTCTTCCCATTTAGATCTTTTAAAATGTCATTCAGTGGGGTTTTATAGATTCTGTGTACAAATACTTCATTAAATTTATACCTAAATGAATTGTTCTTGATACTATTGTAGTTGAATTTGTTTTCTTGATTTAATTTTCAGTTGCTCTTTGTGAGTGCTTAGAAACACAGTTGATTTTTTTTTCAGTCCTGGGAATTAAACCCAAGGCCTCTTACATGGTGGGCAAGTATACTACCACTGAGCGAAACCCCCAAGCCTTTTTATTTTATTTTTTTGAGACAGGCTCTCACTAAGTTGACCAAGATGGCCTTGAGCTTGTGATCCTTCTGCCTCAGATTCCCAAGTACAGAAGGGCACCACCACACCTGGCCCCAATTGAGTTTTTATATTGTTCTAATATTCTATAGCCTTGCTGAACTCATTTATTAGGTCTACTTTTTTTGTGGATTTTCTGTATAAAATCACATTATCTGAATGTAGAGATACTTTTATTTTTCTCTTTTTTATGCTAGTCTAATGTCTCGGCTAGAAAGGACCAAGTTGAATGAAGTAGCAGACACTGATAGATATCCTTATCATTTTCCTGTACTTAATAGGGTAGTTTCAGTCTTTCCTTAATAAATATATTTTTAGCTATAGATTTTTATAGATACCTTTATGAATTGAAGAAGTTTCTTTCAATTACTAGTTTGTTGTATGAAAGGGTTTGGATTTTGTCAAGTCTTTTGTCTGTTAAAATGAACATATATAGGTTTTGTTGGTGCTTTATTTTGTAAATGTATTTTGTTGAATTTCATACATTGAATCAATCTTATATTTCCACTCTTACTCTCCTACTAGTTGCCATTTTGTCGGAAACATAATTTGTATTAACTGTTGTTTTATAAACTGGTACATTTATATACTATATTTACTTTGTTGCATTAAAATTCTAACATGAGGGCCGAGGATTTAGCTCAGTGGCACCACGCCTGCCTCAAAAGCACAAGGCCCTGAGTTCAATCCTTGGTGGGCGGGTCCTAACATAAAAGCTGTAAGATCTATGTTTATGTATATGTATATTTATGTATGTTATCTTTGTATATATAACTTATGTCTACATGATAAAAATCCCCTATAGGATTACATTCAAATTAATTTACAATAAATGAGCACTCATAAAAATTAAAACTGTTAAAGTGACCTGGATGCTCTTTAGTTCTCACTGAGTCATACCTAGGTACTGTAATCTGAAATACTGAAACTCATTTAGTATTCCCTGACTTGATGAATACTATCCTATGCCATTCAAGTGCTTAAGCTAGATAGATACCCAAGATTCTTCTTAGACTCTTCACTTTTCCTGATCTCCTACATCCAGTCCATTGATTTTGTTTTACTGTCCTCCTTTCAGTTCCTATACTTTCATTCCAGGAGTAATTTTTTTCTCATTTCAAAGGTGAATATGATAATTCTAAACTTGAATCAAATAGAAATTAATTTCTGTTCCATGCTTTCTGCTAATGTACATAAACAACTACCAACTGTTATGTATTCTTTTTAAAGCCTTAAAGATTACTTTCTATGAATTATGGGTGACCTTTCTGTTTCTTACAATGGTATATATAATTTACATATTAATGCTACAATAGGAGTGCCACTTTTAGACATTAAGATTTGGTCTAATATTATCCAAAAAAGGAATGATAAAATGGAAAAGAGTTTAAAACCAGATGAGTACCATACTAATTTGTTCCCATTGTTCCCTTGTGAGAATTCTTTTTTTTTTTAGTTTATTTCCCTATATCATATTATGGGGATTATGAGGAGTTTATCTAGTTTGTCAGATATATTATGGACTTTTTAGAATTATTTTAAATCCAAATTATTTAAAGCAAATAAAGTCTAATGTTCACATTGATATATAAGCACCATATATACTAAATACTATAAAAGTTCTATAAATCTCATTATTTACTTATTTATTCTTTATCTTGTAGTCTTGCATTGCATCCTGAACGAGTATTGGTAGCAACAGGACAAGTTGGAAAAGAACCTTATGTCTGTATTTGGGATTCGTACACTGTGCAGACTATATCCATTCTAAAGGATGTTCATACACATGGTATAGCCTGCTTAGCATTCAACTTAGATGGACAGGTATGTGATACTTTTTTCTTTTTCTTAATATTTGTAAAATGTGGACTATAAGAAATGGTTATAAACATTAAAAAGCATTTGAAGAAAAATATTTGTTTATCCAAGGGTGAAGATATGTGAGTGGGGTAGGTGGTTGACTTACATAAGAACAGTAACAACAAAGGACTTTTATTTCACCATATCAGGATCTTAGTCAAATTAATGATTACCTTGAAAGTGAAAGAGATTCTGATTCAATGGAATATTACCTGGTTGTTACTAAAAATTTATTATATGTATCCCTTTTCCAAGTAGGGTATTTTGATAGAGATAGAAGCTGTCTTAGGAAAATTAAGTGTCTCTAAGTACAGTTCTAAACATTTTAATTTTCAGTTACTTATTAAGTTATCTTTTATAATTACATTTTTATTGAAAATTAGATAATACCTATAATTTATTTTTATACAAAATCAAAGTTCAAAGCAAAGAATATAATTATCACTTTACTGACCAGTTTCCAAATTATACTCTACTTTTGGTCAATGATTTTTAAACCATTTATGAAGAGCTCTTCTCTGGGGCTTGTTATACTTAACTCATATTTAAATAGTGTAAAGTTGGGGCCAGGGATTTAGCTCAGTGGTTCCGCCGCCTGCTGTGCAAGCGCAAGGACCCGAGTTCAATCCCCGGTACCAAAAAAACCAAGCAAACAAACAAAAAATAAATAGGGTAAAGTTGGATTTTGCAGTTGTGGTTAAAATAAAAGTTTTATATTAAAACTAGACTTTTAAATTATTTTAACTTTTAGAAGAATTTTTTATCTGATTTTCAATTCATTAAATTAGTTTTGTAGATCTGGATTTTACAGAAACAGATTATAGTGTATTCTATCCCCTTTAAAAAGATAACTAGTATATGTTTCATTTATTGTTCTGAGGAATAGCTTCTTTGAGTGGCATAGATTCGTATGACTTTCTAATGAGAGATTACTTTCTGATAAGGAATCTATAAAAACTTAATTGGAACTTCTTATTTGGGGAAAATAAGCTTCTAGGTTTAATATTGTTATGTAGCAGTGACTAGCAATTATAGAAATTTAATTGTTGTCCCATTTTTGTTATTATCTTTCAAGTCCCTTATTACCCTTATATTTGAATTTCATTTTCTTTTTTAAAGGAAGGAGAATGATAACTCTTTTCTACTTTACAGGAATTTAAACTATTATTTTAAAAATCTACATACAGTAGTTTTAAAAAATCATTTGTCATTTCAGGTGTTATAAAATTCAAGGTATTTTTACTATAAGGGTCTGGCCCTCTTTAAATATAATATACTGCATTGCTCGTGAGGTCCAAGGAGAAATCATTTCCATAAAGCCTTCAATTTTGCTTATTTTAAGCAATTTACAAGGAAGATCTTGGGTACATGTATTTTATTTTTATAAGCCTTTATGAGAATATATTAACATTTTAAACTTATAGGAACATACTACCTAAAATATATGGAGCACATACTAAATGTCAGGCATTTTGTTAAGCCTGCATTATCTCATTTAAGTCTCCTAACAACCCTGTGAAATAGATACTATTATTATCTCTATTTTACAGATAAAGAAACTGAGATAAAGAAACTTAGAGAGGTTAAATAACTTGCCCCAGGTTACACAGCTAGTAAATGGAGCCAAAGCTGGAATTCAGGTCAGTCACACTCCAAAGCTCATGTTTTTAACAGCAATGCTTTACTGCCTCCAAACATGTAGTTCAGGAGGTGGTTACTTATATTTCAAAAGGAATTAACCCATCTTAAGTACACATAAAGCTAAATTGTAAGGAACTGATGCCAGTTGAAGATTAAGAAATTATATTAGTGGTTTAATTTGAAAAATATATTTGAGAGAACATACCTGTTTTTTTATCTATAAATTGTTTATGGGATACCAACTAGAAATATTGTCTTATTTTGAATTTTCTTCTAGATTTGAAACTGATTATTTAGGTTTATCTGATCAGTGAGTTTCCCAGTTTGTGGTAATGCTGAACCTTTTTTTCTCAGAGGCTTTCTTCTAAAGGAATTGAATATCCACACTAATACTGGCAGCCTCTGCCATATTGAGGACAATTAGGGCCTGAAAAGGCTGTTTATATAAACCACATCAAACAGGGACTAAAATTTCATAGTAATGGGAGAGGTGGGTAGAGATAAGAAATTTAACTGAGACTTTGTTGAAAATATGAGAACTTACAAAAACATTTTCTGCATATATAACAAGATCTAAGTTACAGTTACAACTCTTCTAATTTATAGAATGAACTAATAGGTAATAAAGTAGTTTTTGACCTCATTTTATTAATTATAAGCTAGTACAAGTAAAATCCCTCATTTACCTTTGACTTTTGGTACCTGATTATAAAGAGTGTCATTTTTGCAAAAATAGTATAGCTTGGAGAGGGTGTTACTGTTTTTCCCAGGGCCTTATAGTAAGCTCTTGATATCTAGATGTATCTCAAGTACATATTGTATTATTCTGGAATTTTTCTGCAAGATGCTAACTTGTAATGGTTTTTTAAGAACGATTTAACCATTTATTAAGTCCCGAATCTTCTATAAAATTGGGAATTCTACTTTGTTACACTATAATGGTTCTTACAAAATAAACACTGTGATAGCAAGGATCTCCGTTCTGTACTCAAAAGTTTAATTGTCCTTTATTTGAATTTGTTTCACAATTATAGAGACTTAAGGAATGCTTGTGGGGTGTATTAAAATTCTTATTTGAGTATTTGGCTTGTTGCTTCCAATTCAGTTAATGGACACAAATAAGATTTTGATTGGGAATAGAATTAGGGAGGACTTTGGGAAGCTAGATAAAGACTTATTTGCCTGGTTTTTCTTCATCTTTTCTGTTACTTCTTATCTTGAAAAGCCTTTCCTTCTGTCTCATGTCAGTGTTCTTCAGGAATCTATAGATGCCCCCTATACTTAGTCTCTCTTAATTATTATCTGGACCCATAACTTTAACTTCCATATCAGTTAACAGTGGCCTGTAGTTTTCTCAACTCCACATAGCCTCCTTGAATGTCCCATAGATAGTCCATATCACACATTTAAACTTAGTTATCTATCAAAAAACCAAAACCTGTTTTTCTACTGGCTCCCAGCCTGCCTATCCAGCCTACTCTGACACTTCCCCATTGATTCTCCTTCCTTCAGATAGTAGCCCTTTTTTGAAAGCCACAGGATCTTGAGGTCTGGGTTCCTTATCTGAAATGCACTTTTTATTACTTTTTTACCTGTCTCTTACTCTATCTTTGAAGATATGGATTAAGCATTACTTTTTCTGGAAAACTTTATCTTCTTTGTCACCTACCTAGACAGGTTAAAGTGTGAGAAAAGAAGATAAAGTAAAAATTATGGAAAGCTAGAAGAGGAAGTAGTGTTTGCTTTGTTGTTTTTACCATTCTGTTTGTTATTGATTAACCCATGTTTAGGAGGTTGGTTTGGGCCATGGTATGTTGTTTGTCGAGGCTACAGACAAGTACCCTCTACAGAGGTAGATACTTTGAAGAAATTTTTTGTTTTGTTTTGGTGCTGGGGATATTGAACCCAGGGGCTATACTGTATATGCTTGGATTCATGGAGTTTTAAAGTTTTCTCGTGTATGTAAAATGAGCTGAGGCAGAAAGAAGAGGCATCAATAGAAAGGACTATTCCTCACATTATATCTGTCTTGTAAAATATTTAATCTACACTCTATACTACAACAAGAGGTAGATATCTTTGTTCTAGCTAGATATTTGCTCATATCCTCTGGTTCCTAAATATTAGAGCCTCAAGAAGAATAAAACATCACCTCATATTCTTCAAAATCATGACAAACTGTATTCTGGTGGGGTTTGTTTTGTTTTGTTTTGTTTTGTTTTGTGTTTTTGTACTTTGGTTGTTTTGTTTTTTTGGTTTTTGAGACAGGGTCTTGCTATGTAGATCAGGCTGGCCTTGAACTCACTGTAGCCCAGGCTGCCCTCAGATTTGTAGTAATCATCCTGCTTCAGCCATCCAAGTGCTGTCATTACAGGTGTGTACTGTCATAGCTGGCTGACAAACTGTGTTTTGAATCTTTTATTGTAAACTGTTTATTTTGCCTGTTTCACTTAAATAGTAAGTCTACTTTGCAGAAACATTCTTTTTTTTTTTTGTACCGGGGATCGAACTCAGGTCCTTGCGCTTGCGAGGCAGGCGGAGTAACCACTGAGCTAAATCCCTGGCCCTGCAGAAACATTCTAATTGGTTACTAGGTGGCATTTCTCATTTGGACAGAGTTAGAGTGCATGGATTCTTAAAGTGAATTATGGCCATTTTAAACTAACAGTAATTATGTTAGCAAACATTTAACGTTAGCCATATGTTACTCTTCTCACTCCTTTATGTATAATATACGTTAATTTTCATTTTATCTCTATAAGGTATTTATATTATCTCCATTTAATGGGTGAAGAAAGTAAGCCTGAGCTAGATAACTGCCCAGTGTCACACAGCTAGTAAGGCACATGGTGTTCAAACCTAGCAGTCTGGTCCCCAATCATGCTCTAAACCACAATTTGGCAAACTTTACAAGTCAGATAATAAATATTTTTAAGCTTTGTGAACCATGTGGTCTTTGTTGTAGCTTCTTATCCCTGCACTGTAGTGTGAAAGCAGTCACAGACAATGTGCAAAAAAAAAATTAATGTGGCTGTATTCTAGTAAAACTTGACTTATGAAATAGAATACAGGCAGGATTTAGTTGCAGATGGTAGATGCTGACCTTTCCTCTAAACTAATAGTTTTCAGTGTGTTTTGTATTGTCCCTCACACTTCTCCTGTGATTCCTTTGGTGCTTCAGTTACTTAGAATATAATTTTTAAATATTTTGGGAATTTTCTGGATTACTTTGTTTAATTCTTTGTCAGAGTACATACAATACTCTGTGTTTTAATTTTATTTAATTTCTTGACACTTTACAATCCAAAACTTTGTGATCTTCACTTAAAAAGGATATGGAAAAATATATTTTGATGTTTCCTTTCTCCTTTCCTGGATGTTGTGTTTTTGTTATCAATTTTAATTGTACATATTTTTTAAACTACATAATCACTATTATTTTTGCCTTAAACCTTTTTAGAAGAAATTTTAAAGTGAGAAAAGTTTTATTTATATATTTACCATTTAGGGCTCTTACTCATGTGTAAATCAAGTTTCTATTTGGTATTGTTTTCCTTCTGCCTGGTAAAACTTTTAACATCTTATTTCATGTGCAGGTTTGCCAGTGATGAATTCTTTTAGCTTTTTTTTCTTTTTGGAGGTGAAGTCTTGCAGTGTTGCCCAGGCTGTCCTCAGACTCCTGGGTGCAAGTAATCCTCCTGCTTCAGTCTCCCAAGTACAGTGGCTGGGGCTAGAGGTACAAGCCACTACACCTGGCTTCTCAGCTTTTGTCCATTTGAAGAAGATTGCTTTGACTCAGTTTTCAAAAGATATTTTTACTAGGTACACAATTCTGTGTTGACTTTTTCCCACCTCGGCATTTCAGAGAGGTTGTCCATTGTCTTCTGACTTGTGTTGCTTCAGATGAGATGACTAGGATAATTTTTTAATCTTTGTTCTTTCATACCAAAATTGTCTTTTTTGGTCTGGCTGCTTTTAAGATTTGTGTGTGTTTGTGTGCATGTGATTCTGGGCATTGAACCCAGGGCCTCACAATAAGCTACAGAACATCCCCTAGCCCTTTTTATTTTTAATTTTGAGACAGTCTTGTTCAATTGCTCTGGCTGGTCTCAAACTTGTGATTCTTCTGCCTTGGTCTCCCAAGCAGTTGGGATTACAGGTGTGCAACATCACACTGGCCGTTAGCAGTGGTCTCAGCAGTTTGCCATGTCTTTTTCTGTGTGATTGATAGTTCAGCTTGGGATTTGTTTGGCATCTTATTTTGTGAGTTTGTGGTTTTCATTACATTTAGAACATTTTTGGCTCTTTGGGTGGTTTTTATTTTCTTTGTTCCTTTCTTTTTGGACCTACAGTTATCTATATGTTAAACAAAAAGGTAACTGAGGCTCTGTAAATTCTTTATTTTCTCTCTCTCTCTTTCCTTCTTTCTTTTTTTCTTTCATTCTTTCTTTGTGAGAGGGTCTTGCTATGTAGCCAAGGCTAGCCTCGAGCTCACAGCAATCCTCCTGCCTCAGCCTCCTGAGTGCTGGGATTATAGGCATGTGGCACCATACATGGCTGAAGTGAACTTTCATTTTGGATAATGCAGCATTTATTTTTACAAATTGTATTTCTTCTTTTTTCTTCCTTCTTCCTTCTCTTCATCCTCCTTCCTCCTCCTTCCTCCCCCTTCTTCTACCCCCCACCATTGCCTCCTCCTCTTTTTCTCTTTCCTCTTCTCCCATTCCTCCTCCACCCACTCTTCCTTCTCCTTAGACCTTCTACCTCCTTCTACCTCCTTTCTCCTCCTCCTTCCTCTTTCTCTTTTGTCTCCTATTCCCCCGAGCTGAGATTATAGGTGTGCACCACCACATATGGTTTATGTTCTTCTTTTGTATCTCTCATTTCTCTTTTTATCATTTGTAGTTGTATTTTAAGGTAATTCTTGAGCTTCTGGAACATTTTCATTATGGTGATTCTTCTAATTTTAATCATCTCCATAATTTGTGGGTTACTTTGTTTCTGTTGACTTTTTTCCCCCCTTGGTGATTGTTCATATTTATTCACATGCCAGTAATTTCTTCATTAGATGCTAAACATTGTGTATGTTACATTTCAATGCTATGTTTGATTGTACCACCTTAAAACATTTGAACATTGTTCTCAAAGTAAATCCCTCATGGATCTGGGGTAATGCTCCTGGGATACTTAATACACAGTGAGTTCAAAGAAGTGTCTCCATTCTGGCTGTTGGAGACTTGGGTGATTTCTAACCTTTGTGATCTTAAAATTGTCTTCATTTCCCCCTTTGTTCTTTTCTAGAATTTTTTCTTTTATGGCCTCATGGACTTGGCCCTATGCATGCAGAGAATACTATTCCCAAATCTCACCTATTAGACACATTTCTTAGAGCACATTGTCTGCTCTGAACTCTAGGCTCTTGGCTGCTCTGGATTTGAGGTGTCTTCAAAACAGCAAGTCCATTGGGTTCTAGTGTGTTCTACCTTTATGTGCTTTTATCCTGAAATTGCCTCCTAATGAAAGCTGAAGAAATTGTAGGACTCACCTTCTTTCCCCCTCTTTGAGGGTTTGCAGTGCTTAACTTCCTGTTACAAAATATGCACATGTTTGTTTCATGTATTTTCTACAGTTTTTTAGATATTTGTGGCAAAAGGTAAATTCAGACCCTGATATCCTTCTTGACTACAGGCTCATCTTTTCGTGTTTCTTACCCTCTTTTCATTCATCTATTTTATTTTTTATTTCTAGAAATTCTGTTTGCTTCTTCACATTTCCTTGGATACATTTCATAGAGTCCTATTCTTTGTTTATATGCAACTATTATGAAGCCTTAATTCTATTTCTCTACTTAATTTTATATAATCCCAGTATCTGATGTATTTTGCAAGACTGATTTTTCTGATTGTAGTGACTTGCTGATTCTCATTCATAGTTTCTTTTTGTGTTTGTGGAGGGTGTTTAGTTTGGTTGGTTTTTTTTTAGTTTATTTTTATTGAATTTCACCTGTAGGAATTCTTTGAGGGATGGATTGAAAGTTGCATTCCTCTTCAAGATTTATGTTTGGCTATGCGATTTGGTTGAAATTGATTGAAGACATAGTCAGTCCCTTGGACCACTCTGGATGAAACTTCACACTGGAGAGATCATGACTATGAATTTAGGTCATACAACAATGTGAATGTTGCTTCTAGTTGTAATTTTTCAGAGCTTTTTCTGCTTCTTCATGCATTGCCATCCCTCTTTCTTTAAAGGATTATTTCTCATCGTCCCATATTCTGAGGGGTTCATTGCTTTTGTCAGAGATCTGCAATTTAAAGTCTCACTTTGGGTGGGCTCCAGACTTTATCACCTATTCCTCTTCCTCCCACAGGACAAAAGTCAGGGGTATAAAATTCATCTCTTACCTATGTATGTTCTCTCTTATCCTTCAGGATTTCCAGTGGAAATTTCTTTATTTTTATTTTAATTTTCTTAATTCCATGACAGTTTGGCAGTAAATTTAAAAAGATGTTTTTGTATTTTTAATTTGGGGCAAGAGTTATGTTTAGTATGTTTTGTCAATTCTGCTATGAGAAATCTTCTGTTTTTTAGGGAGGAACCGTATATACGTATGTATGCATGTATGTATGTACAAGTTTTAATAAGATGAAACACATCTACCTTTTCTCTGTGAGATCTATAAAATATAGACATGTAAGTTTTAGGTTTATAAAACTCATGAATAGAATTTATTTGCCATTTGTAATTTGGTTGTTCTGTGATTTGTTTTCCTTTTTATCCCCTTCTGAACTTTTTGGACATAATCCAGCGTTTGGTTTCTGTTGGACTGGATTCAAAGAATGCAGTTTGTGTTTGGGATTGGAAAAGGGGAAAAGTATTGTCTATGGCTCCTGGTCACACAGATAGAGTAAGTATTCTCCTTTGGGAATGCTAATGAATATTGGGCAGGAAAAGGGCAGAGGAAAGTTCAGGGAATTTTATTCTTTGGTATTTTGTTACTACCAGATTAAAATTTTATACCTTAAAAAAATTATACAATTATGAGGGAGGGGAAAAGATAGCAATGACTGTCAATAGTCTTAGAGTTTCTTTTTAAGGTGATGAAATGTTCTGAAATGATTATAATAATGGTTGTACAATTCTGTGAGCATACTAAGAACCATTGGATTGTACACTTTAATGGGTAAATTTAATATGGGAATTATATCTCAGTAAAGCTGTTCAAAACAAAATATTTTTAAAATTATGGAATTGTGAGGCTCAGAAACATGATTCAATGTTTATAGTGTTACGAAAAACTTAACCCAGTGATTCAGTACAAACTATGCATTTTCTGGTGGGTTTTTTTCAACATTTTATTGAACAGTAATTTACTTAGAAAAGACTGCACATATTTAGTGTGCATAGTTTGAGTTTGGACATATGCAAATATCCATTATTCAAATATTGATTTTTAGAATGAAATAGTTTGTACCTAGGGTCTGTTTAGTTTGGCTTACTGCTAATGTTACATATATCTTATGTTACTATGGACTGCAGATGTAGCTGTGTGGAAGAGTACTTGCCTAGTATGCTCAAGGCTCTGGGTTCAATCCCCAACAGTGCAGAAAAAGTAATATTATAACTCTTTTAGAGACCTAACATTTTTTACTTTGGGAATTTGATAAAATATATATATATTCCTTGTTCTAAGTTATTTTTTAAGATTAATAAGATTAATAAAAAGAATGTTTTGTGGTCAGTGTTTCATTAAATATACTACTTTTCTGAACATAGACAATTTTGTAAGCTCTTAAAAATGTCTAACTAAATTTAAAAAAAGTCTTAATTGTTGAGTGTGTGTAGTAAAATCCTAACCCAAACCAAAATAGAGGCATAATCAGTGATTCTACTTAAGAATCTATGAATTGATAAATGGTACAGAAACTTTGTGTATATTTTCAGCAGACTCTCAAGCCTGTTATACAGTCTCACACATATATACAATTTAGATCATTATAAAATATTAGGTATGCTTTATTAGACAGCTGTGTATTAGTAAGCTGTCCTGTTACTAGGACAAAGTACCTAACACCCGCAATTTGAGGGAGGAGAGGTTTATTTTGGCTCACAGCTTTAAAGGGTTTAGTCTATCATTGGCTGGCTCCAGGGCAGAAATGGCATGGTAGAAGGGCATGGCGGAGGAAAGGTGTTCAACCCATGGCAGCCAGGAACCAGAGAGAGAAGGAAGAGCTAGAACTAGAGATACACCCTCCACAGGCACACCCACCATGACCCAACTCCTAGCTGAGCCCTACTTCCTAACACTACGTTCAACTTTGAATTAATTCCCCAATGAATATAGTAATTCCCCCATCCAATCCCCTTCTGAAAGTACCACCTCAGACCACATGAGACTTTTAGGGAACATTTTAGGTGACAGCTTTGTATTCTGTCTTACTTAGATTAAAGCATTTCACACCTTAGTACTTTGAATTTAGTAAATAGGCCAATTATTATAAAAATTATTGATATATTTTTTTAAGTATTTTGAGTTAGTATTTTAAATTTGTATGATTTTTATATCTATTTTATAATGTATTGTTAAACATTAAGTTATGAGGTATTCTTTCTTCATTACTGTAGAGTCACTTTGTTAATTTTTAGACATGATTAACACTTTAGGTTAGATTATACAAGGGTCAAGGGGACATTGTGAAGACTGCCAGGTAGCAAAACAAGTGAATTATTTTTCAAATGTTAGTTTTTATTTCACTTATTGTTCAATTATGTATTTGCATAATTTTCTTTCATCTGAGATTTTGCTTGTCATAAAATGGTTTGTATATATTTAGAATGTATGGGATAAACCAAGCCTGGGACCTCCAAAATATAAGTACATATGTGTAAATTAATTTTGTTTGGCCCATAATTGGTAAGAAAGCTAAAAAAAAAAGCTATGAAAAAAGTTTTATTCCCTTATGAAAGTAGTCCTATGTGATCGAAAGCTATAAAAATGTTCATTATTTCTAGCTCTAAGTGTTAAATGTATGTTCCATTTAGAATCTTACCTCTGTAAAAATTAGGCAGGTATCTGCCTGATGCTTTAGTTCTGTTCAACCATTCTTGTTATTTAAAGACCAAATTATTTTAAAAATTAGGTGGGTGTGGTGGTGCACACAGGTAATCCCAGGACTTTGAATGGCTGAGGCAGGAGGATCACTGTGAGTTGGAGACCAGCCTAGGTAGGCTCCATAGTGAATTCAAGGCCAGACTAAACTATATAGCAAGAGTGTCTCAAAAACAGCAACAATAAAAGAATGAATAGAAATGTTAAATATTTCATTCTACTAATTGCTTCATAGTTCATGGTAACTAAGAAAAAGTTATTATTCCTTATTTGTATTTCTTATAAGATTTTAAAATGTGGGGATCTGATTATTGAGATTGCTGCGATTGATGATAGGGATTTGGGGCATTTGATCTTTTGGACAGGACTTTTAAATGATTATGGAAATAAATATTTTAACCATGAATCCAATTTGTTTACAGATATTTGATGTTTCTTGGGATTTGTACCAGCCAAATAAACTTGTCAGCTGTGGTGTAAAACATATCAAGGTACTAGAAGGGTTTTGTTTTATAATAATCCTATTTCATTTTCTGGTACTAATTATGCATTATACTATTAATAATTTAGGGTAGTTTTAGAAACTTGACAGTAGTTTTAAATGTCAGCTTTTTAATGTATGCATGTCCAATCTAACAAATATTGATTGTGTAGTTACTTTGAAACATTATAAAAGATATAGACATGAATAGGAATTATTGAACCACTCTCAATAAAGGAATTTGTAGTCTAGTGAGGCATGATTCATTTTGTTAATCTTGTTTCTTCATATTTCACTTACAGAGTAAAAGGTAATGTTAGGTAACCAAATAAACAAAAAGCTTTTCATTTGCAGAGCAAAAATAGAGGTGGCTCTGCCACTTATTATACGTTTAACTTAGATGAGTTATTTAACCATTTGAACTTTTTTCAAATTTTGAAACTATGACTGCTCTTATCCTTGATGAGTTGATGGTTAAAAAGACAGCATATGTTCAGTGCCTAACACAGGGTCAGCTTTCTGAAAGTGTTCTTTTTTCTTTTTCTATATTTGCCCTCTGATTTGACTTCAGCCTTCATAACCTTACTTGCTCTGCTCATGCAGCCTCTAGGTTTGGCTTTAAAATTATAGTTGAGAATTTGAAGCCCATAAAGTCATTAATGATATTCATTCTTATGTCTATAGTTACATTTATGTCCGTGGTGCCAGTGGCAAATACTTGCTTTTCTTACAGTCTCTTATCTAACAGTTCCTGAAAGCAGTTAACTCCCAGTGAGTTCAGTACATGTTTAACTGCTGCTGCAATTCTGTTTTTTATATTCTGGTGTTGGTTTGTTGAATCAGTAATAGTAAATCTTTATTTTTTTTCAACAAATATTAAGTAGCAAAGGCACTGTACTAGGCTTTAAGGTACATGATGTAAACAATGTGAAGATAAATATTTTTGTCTCATTTACCTTTGAGAGGAAGATGATGATTAACAGATATATATATATGTGTGTATATATATATATGTATATATATATATATAGAGAGAGAGAGAGAGAGAGATCCTAATAAATGATTGGCTAATTATGAATAAAGAGATCTTACTGGTGATTTATATTGTGAATAAAGCTAAAAGTTCCATTTTCAGGGGGTTTTTTTAAGCTCATCTTCTAAAACTAAACAAACCTATATCTTTATTATGCATTACATTTCCTTTCCTTTGGTATATGCAGTAAATACCCTCTTTCCCCCCAAATAAGATCTAGCCGGAAAATAATCAGCCTTGAAAACTAGAGATCAAAACTGCCAGCCCCAGTCAGCCTATCCTTGCCTTACCTGCCATGGCTATTCTCTTGCTCAGTTGCTATTCTGTAAGGTAGGTATGACAAGGATAGCCTGATTGGAGCTGGGATTTTTTATCTGTAGTTTTCAAGGCTGATTATTTCCTAGCTAGGTTTTTTTTTTTTTTGCGAGAAAACACAGGTAGCATGGTAGTAAAGCAAAGTGTGGTCCAACATGCCTATAATCTTAGCACTTAGGAGACTGAGGCAAGAAGATAATTCTGAGTTTGAGACCAGGCTGGACTACGTAGTGAGTTCAAGCCTTAGCTACATAGAGAGACCCTGTCTCAAAACAAACAAACAAACAAAACAATAGCATTATAGTTCATTTTTTTGTAGGCAGCATGTGTGAGGAAACTAAGTCCCAGAGTTGATCTAAATGGCAAAATAGCCACTAGCCCCATGAAGCTATATAGATAGAAAGTTAAATAAAATTAAAAATTCACACTGGCAGCCACATTCCAAATGCTCAAGCATATCTAATGGTTACTGTATTGGAAACCATGAACACACACACACAGTTTTTATCATCATTGAAAATTCTATTGGAGAGTATTGATTTACAGTTTAGAATAATAGTTCTTAGCTCCTGCTTAACATCAAAAGCATTTGGAAATCTGGGCCTCATTCCCCAAAGATTTTATCTCCGTTCACCTCAATTGAAGGCCAGGAAATTTTATAATTTTCTCAGGTAATTCTGTTGTGAAAACAAGTTTGGGAATCACTGACCTAAAAGAAAATAATAGATTTAAATTGGAAATTGCTGAAAGGAAGAATCCAGCTATTCTTACACACAGAAATTACAGAATTTTTCA